TCTGAGGAGTAGTGAATGGTGCTGAACATTGTACAATCATCAGCGAACATCCCCACTTCTGACCTTATGATGGAGGGAAGGGCGTTGATGAAGATGGTTGGGCCCAGGGCACTACCCTGAGGAACTCTTGCAGAGATGCCCTGGAGCTGAGAACGCTGACCTCCAACAACCACGACTATCTTCCTATGAGGCCCACGCCCCCTTAGTGAGGGTCTGTGTTTCAGGGGCATCAGGAAACTCATGTTCTGTGCCTTGTCTCAACAGGGAGCCCGTTTACGGTGAAGGTGACAGGTGAGGGTCGAGTGAAGGAGAGCATCACTCGGAAGAGGCGAGCAGCGTCAGTGGCAAACGTTGGGAGTCAGTGTGATCTGTGCTTCAAGATTTCAGGTACGTGGAAGGGAGAGGGGAGATGGTGTTTATCTGTGTGTCTATCTATGTGAGAGAGACAGACCATTGTCTGGTCAAGATTTCAAACTCACCCTGTCCCCTGGTCAGTGGTTACCCTCAGAACCTCCTCCAGCCTCTACCCCCCATCCTGTCTGTCACCTCCCCCAGCCCCTCCCTATCTCTGTCACCTCCTCCAGCCCCTACCCCACTTCCTGTCTCTGTCACCTCCTCCAGCCCCCTACACCCCCTCCCTATCTCTGTCACCTCCTCCAGCCCCTACACCCCCTCCCTATCTCTGTCACCTCCTCCAGCCCCTCCCTATCTCTGTCATCTCCTCCATCTCTACCCCACTTCCTGTCTCTGTCACCTCTTCTGGCCCCTACACCCCTCCCTACCTCCCACGACCATCTGAGTTCTGCGTGCTCTTCAGATACTTGGCTTCTCCCTGTTTCTCATCGTTCTGCCATTGGTGGCTGGATTGTGGGCCCTGAGCCCTGGAATTCCCTCCCTGGACCCCTCCATGTCTTTCTTTATTTCCATGTTTTTCCCTCTTCGTGAGTCTCTCTCTGTGCCTTCCTTTCTTTCTCTCTCTCCTTCTATCACACCCACCCAGTCTCTTTCCCTCCCCTTCTCTCCTCACCTCGGGTTGGCTCCCTAAAGCCTTGCCGAGGGTCCAATCTGATGAAGTTCTCATGAAGCCCCTTTGGGTCGATGGCCCAGCAGAGTTGCTATCTAAATGTAGAGCTGTTTGCCAATTCCCTCCCCCTCCCCACAACCGTCACTCCCTCGGCCTAATGTCAGGGCCTTCCTTCTCCAGGTTTGCCCTTGGCTCAGAGGTGGATTAGGCCTGGGTCAAGATAAGTTCTTTATCGGAGAGTCAGAGCGTGGCTTTGGAGACTAATCAGGACAACCATTTCCCCTTGTCTCTTCCCTCCCCATCCTTCTTCCCGATCTCTACAGAAATCAACGTGGGTGACATGAAGGCGCAGGTGACGAGTCCCAGTGGGACTGTGCACGATGCTGAGATCATGGAAGGCGAGAACAACACCTACAGCATCCGCTTTGTGCCGACGGAGATGGGTGTCCATACGGTCAGCGTCAAGTACCGGGAGCAGCACGTGTCTGGGAGCCCCTTCCAGTTCACGGTTGGACCCCTAGGCGAAGGTGGGGCCCACAAAGTGAGGGCCGGGGGTCCCGGCCTGGAGAGAGCTGAGGCTGGAGAGCCAGGTAGGGCACACAGCTCCCCCAGGTAGGGCACGCGGTACTCTCCCTGGCAGGTTGATGTTGATGTTGTGATGGGATATCAGCCATTTTGGGCTGAGATCAGGCGGCAGGGGAGAGGCCTAACCACAGAATGTTTTTGAGAACGACTTGGATATAGTTCTTGGGGCTAAAGGGATCTAACGTTTCAGGGAGGAAAGCAGAGGAACAGAGTTGGTTGATCAGCTGTGATCCTACTGAATGACAGAACAGGCTTGAAGGGCCGAATGGCCTACACCAGCTCCTATTTTTTACGTTTCTATTCCACGGCCTGGTGAGTTTTCACTTTACGAACTGGAGGAAGCCTGGCCGTTAGCTGTCAATGACTTCAGATCATCGAGGGTGGAGGAATGGGTCTCGGGACTCATGCCCACCGACTTTGGAGGGGATGGGGACAGGCAGTGAGGGAGGAGGGGGCAAGGAATGAAGGAGGGTGGGGTCGGCCTGCAAGTGACCCAAACACTATTGACATTATGTCTCTCTGAGTGGTGGTGCTTGTAGAGGGTCCTGGGATCTGGACGTGTCGGGGTTGGGTGGGAGGGGGTAGATTTTGATGAGGTTTAAGCACGTGGGTCTGCACTGGGTCTCTCCGTGCAGGCTGGGCTCGGTCAGAATGTGATTCCCTTACTCACCACATGCACTCCGACTGGGTCCATTTCACTGATTTTGTTTTTTGCTCTCCCCACACCCCCCCACCACTCTGCACCCCCTACTCCCTTCTCCTCTCCCTCCCTCCTCTCTCCGCAATACCCCCACCTCAGCCGAGTTCAGTATCTGGACCCGTGAGGCTGGTGCAGGGGGGCTGTCGATTGCTGTTGAGGGTCCCAGCAAAGCGGAGATTGCCTTTGAAGATCGCAAGGACGGCTCGTGTGGAGTGTCCTACATCGTCCAGGAGCCCGGTAAAGGCCAGGGAGGGGAGGCATTTGGGCTGGGGGGAGGGGGTGGTCTCAGGAAAGGGAGGGGCAATGTGGGGGCATTGGAGGGGGAAACGGTGCAGGGTGATGGGGAATGTGGGGCATTGGGGGTGGAATGGGGCAGAGGGAAGGGAAATGTGGGGGCATTGGAGGGGGGGAATTGGGGCAGAGGGAGGGGAAATGTGGGGAACATCGTGGAGGGGTGTGTGGGAGGTTGAATTGGGAGGAGATGGGGTACAGATGGTTGGGGGATGGGATTAGGGGGACGGGTTGGGAGGGAGATGGGGAGAGAGGGAGGGATGCCCTCAAGTGGGTCAGGGGAGGTGGTCGAGGGTTAGAGCAGAGAGGGTGAGGGTGCAGGATTATCTCTGTCATATTCTCAACTCTCTCTCTCTATCTCTCCCCACCCACCCCTGGGCCCTGTTCTCTCTTCCCTCCCCTCCATCCTGACACCTATCTTTTCCTCTGTTCTCCCCCGCCAACATCTCCCTCTCTTCTCCCCCGCCAACATCTCCCTCTCTTCTCCCCCCGACCTCTCCCTCTCCCCCCTCCCTCACACAGGTGACTACGAAGTGTCGATCAAGTTTAATGAGGAACACATCCCAGACAGTCCATTTATTGTCCCTGTTGCCTCTCCCTCTGACGACAGCCGCCGTCTCACTGTTACGAGCCTTCAGGTGAGGCGCTGGGAGAAATCACCTCACTTTGCTTACCCCTCGGTCTGGTCACTCCCTCCATGGGGGCGGGGGGGGGGGGGGGGGGAGAAACCCCCCCCCGTGCCGGGGGGGGGGGGGGGGGTGTCACCTGTGTCTCGGTGTGGGGGACAGTCTTCATCAGGGACAGTTTACCCCCTCCCTCTTCCCCTGGGAGAAGTGGGGGTGTGGGGGTGGGGGTTGTCTCCCACCCTAGAGGCATTGTGGAAGTTTCATCACTGACACTCATTGGGAATTTGGTCACCATTTGTGGGATGTGGGCGTTTCTGGCCGGGCCAGCATTTATTGCCCATCCCTAATTGCCCCTAGGGCAGTTAAGAGCCACTGATGTTGCTGTGGGCCTGGAGCCACATGTAGGCCAGAACAGGTAAGGATGACAGTTTCCCTCCGTAAAGGGCATTAGTGAACCAGGTGGGTTTTTCCCTGACAATCGATTCGTGGTCATTGTCAGACCCTTAATTCCAGATTTTTACTGAATCCGAATTCCACCATCTGCCATAGCAAGATTCAAACCTGGGTCCCCAGAACATGGCCTGGGTCTCTGGATTAACAGTCCAGTGATATCACCACCTCCCCCATAAATATGAAAGCCTCCCCACTCTACTCCCAGTGCTGCCTCAACAGTCGAACAGCCAACCTGCTTCTGAGTGGAGAGGGAAGGCATGGTTTGGGGTGGCAAGAAGCTGGGGAAACCCACAGGAGGCAATTGATGGACCCTTGGAGGGGCAATGGGTGGGGGAACCCTCGGGGGAGGGGGATTGGAGAAAGCCTTGGGGGGGGCGTTATTGGGGAACCCACGGGAGGCAATGGGTGGACCGAGGGGAAGCTGCTGGTCTGTTGAGGTTTGCTGGTGTGTTTCTCTCGCGTCTTTGTTAAAGGCCCCTAACAGGGACTGGGACCATGTGTACACTAAACCCTCCTCCCCTCCCCTCCCTCGATCCTAACCTAACCCCTAACCCAACCCCACTCAACCCCAAACCCACCCACCGACCCCCGACAGGTCGAAGGTAAAGAGGAAGGTGTATAAATGCGGCCGTGTATATTTGTGTGGTGCCAATCTGAGCTCAAGGTGGTGTTTTTGTGGGCGGGGGTTGAGTGTTGAGTGTGGCATGGGAGGAGGTATCGTTTACATCCAGGATGCATGGCCTGACCTTTAGCCTCCCTCTTTACCTCTCGACCCACCTCCTCATCAGGTAGGTTGCCCCAGACTGTGGCCATTCAGCCTTTGCGGTCTGCTATCCATTGGTTGTTTGCTGTTGACTGTGCTGATCAAATGCTCCTTGTTTACCGTTAACTGAGGTGGTGGGGGGAAGGGAAGAGAGACAGAATCCAGGGAAATGGGCGAAAAACAGGCCAGAGACAGGCTCGTCCTGAGGCTGCTCGGCACCAGTTCAAACTCCTCAATTTACAGGGTATGGTAGGGCCCCCCTCAAATGGAAACCTGTCACCCATCTGTAGATTGTTCCCTCTTCCAGCTCCTACACCCCTCCGTATCTGTCACCTCATTCTGCCCCTACACCTCCTCCCACCCCTACACCTCCTCCCTATCCCTGTCACCACCTTCAGCCCCTACACCCACCTCCCTATCTCTGTAACCTCCTCCAGCCCCTACACCCCCCTCCCTATCTCTGTCACCTCTGCCAGCCCCCTACACCCCCTCCCTA